TGTAGCGATCGAAATCCTATCTCGAATCCCCTTGTACGCTTGATTCTGCTTCAGAGCATGATGAAAGATTCCATAAGTGTGAACGAAAATAGTTGTAAACCGAAGCAAAAACTGTTTCGGTCGCTGCGAGAACTGTTTCAAAGCAGTATTATTCATATGATGCTCTAAAATTATGCCACTTATTGATATCGATATTGATATGTACGTCTGTGATTGCATTCGTTGAGGCAGCTTATTGTCAATAAAATAGTTTGATGTTGCTTGGCGTTGTGTATGGGGGAATGAAAATGGTTTTAATCAGTATAATTCAAGTAAAATTCTGAATCGGCGCATTTGTGAACAATGCATGCAATGACAAAAATAATGCCTAGAAAAACGATGTTATGCAACGAATGTTCCGACAGCTTCGGCTGCACACAAATGTTGATGGGTATACGTATGTAATTGGTGAATCAAAACACTAACACTAATTGTAAGGTTGTATTGTGTTGACAGAGGATTGATTACTTTCACAGTAAGAAATATTAATCGGCGTAAGAGAATTGATGCAGAATCTCAAATTCGTCAGCGGTGTCCAACTTCAGAGTTTTAGCGAGTCAATCACGAACGAAGCAACTGTTTTCGGTAGCGTTCCCATCCCTGATTATGAGAAATAATCCCGATGTAACCAATAGATTACGATAAATATTTTTTTTCATACAAATATTTGTTCAAGTTCAGGTTGCATGATAGCGGTTTTACGAGCCGAAACATCGCACGAACGCTTTCATGTTGTACTTCAACATCCATACATAGACCACGAAGACACACAACAACAACAACAACAACAAAAACAACAATCAATTCAACTTCGTAAACATACTCAAGTACCGTATTTTCCGGACTATAAGGCACACTCAAAAGCCTTTGATTTTCTCAAAAAAAAACGATAGTAAGCCCTATAAACCGGAGCGCTTTACATATGGATCAATTCTGCTTACTGACCTCGAAGCGATTTTGTGTGGTTATATGACTGAACATAACCATTGCTCACGCCGAGCGTCATAACTCTCCTAACTTAACAATTGGCGACAATATTTAAAAAGATTTCTATTGTACTCAATCTTGGCTACAACATGGTGTACAACATTCCGTCTAATTTTTATATTCGCAATAGAGAGAATTTCAGTTTCTTCTCTATGCACGCCAATCGTGACCACTGTACACAACCATTGCTCACGCCGAGCGTCATAACTCTCCTAACTTAACAATTGGCGACAATATTTAAAAATATTTCTGTTGTACTCAATCTCGGCTACAACATGGTGTATATCACGATTATAAATTTTTCCTATCGGGTGGATACCAGTTCAAATTATCTGTTGCATTTTTTCACTTAACACGAAATCGAAAATCTCGAACATCTTGATTATTAGCAAATCTATCAGTTATGTTTTGTTCTCCTGGATCAGCGCTACAAAATGATATATGATTTACCCGGATTTATTCCCGCTGAATAGGTAAGAAATTCACATTTCTGAACATATATCAAATGAAAATCCCACTTCCGTCACTTGGCGAACTGTCACCTTCCCACGAGCACTGCCCAACGTGTGTACGCAGTGCGGAACTAGGGCGGGGTCATGATCTTGGCAAATGCTCTTTGCCGACTCCGCCCCTGTGTTTTTATGGCCAAGTGCGACGAGATCGTGCGCAAATCTGTTGACTTGTTATGATTTCATAAATATATACATCAATTAATTTGTTGTTGCTGTTTGAAAATTGCAAATCTTGTTGATATATACATAGTGATTGTGTTGTTTGGATAATTATCATCTTAAGTATGTCCTTATCGTTGTGAGTTGAACTGCGAATTCAGATGGACAAGGATATGAATTCGATGCCTTTGAATAGGCTCCAACAACATGCAGATACCTTTTTTCAGTACGTTCAACATTTGAGAGAGGTATGTCAGTTTTATGATTGACTTATCGCAAAGCATTTGTGTGCATTGTATCACCATTACTTACTCATTCCGATCACTTTTATTGCAGTCTTGTGCAACTAGTGGTGTCGGCTATACCGAAGGAATGTTAATTGACTAATTTTATAGGTGTGGGTATAATATGAAAGTATTGAATTGTCTCAATGAATTTAGAGAAAATATTCATTTCATTTAAATGAAATAATTAATGTTTTCTAAAATTTGTTCCAGAATGAACACTTTTTGGATGTAACAATAGAATGTAACGGAGAGTTGGTGGGATACGCACACCGTTTGGTATTGGCTGCATACAGCAATCATTTTGAAAGAGCATTAGCCAACGCGTCGTCGTATTCGTCAAATCTTACCCTTGATATTGATTCTAAAATTACAGGTTCGTTTTATTTGATATTCTTCGGAATTTTGTATGATTATGTGCTTAAGGTGATATGAAGAAATAATTTCAGGAGTGCGGAGTGATGAAGTGGTCGATATAATAGAGTTTATGTATACGGGCCGTAGTGAAACGTCTCATCGAGCACGACGACTGGAATGTGCTCGTGGGTTAGGTTGTCGTTCATTGATAAATCTTCTGGAATCAAACGAAGCGATCTCGAATGAAGGTGTGATTCTCGAGGACAGTTTCCATTCACATCGGTTGTTATTTGCTCTGGATCGATTCAAGTCCGATCATCTGTTCACTGATTCAATCATTTTTTGTCAGGTTTGTTCATCCATTCGCTTATTAGATGAATGTAATTATAGATGTTCGAGCATGTGCACATTCTGAAAATGAGTTGAAAGCAATGAGAAAGTACCCTCAGATGTGGATACGCACTATTGGTATGGTGATTTTTGTCTGCTGACAAATAATTGGTAGGATAATAACGATAGTGATGAGAATTTTGTTAGTAATAGTGGAGGAGTGGTTTGGGGAGCGGATGTATCAGCGTATGGAATAAACAGGCAATTATACTCTATGACAAAAATCAAGATACCAATTCTGCGCATCCACAAGTCGCAATATTTGAAAATAACTCATCGTTCCTTTAGTATCAAAACGGACAGATTATTATGCGTTATGATTGATTTGTAGAGTTGGGTTATATTCATCATTGTGCCGAATTTTAGAATGTGTCAGTATTACGATGTCATCGATTAGTGTTATGTGCTTATAGCAGGCATTTCGAGAATGCTTTGTATGATACACAGGATACGGCTATTGTTAATGTCGATATTAATGCTTATGTCACTGGTGTGGGCAGGTACTTTTATTGCTATCATTATTGAGTAATTTCCGTGAGATGGCTACCAGTTCATGAAACTTAAATGCCCATCTTATAATAGAATATTGGAAAGGTTGCATGTAGTGCTGAAGTCAGTTCAAATTGGTGAATGGTCGTCTTTATGTGATGCAATATAAAATGATAGAGAGAAGATATTAAGCTGATAGTGAAGATGATAAATAATGGTATTGATTATAGTATGGACATTCGCAACATAGTAGATTTTATGTATACGGGTTGTGTGCGAACGACATCGCGACGGTTCTTGGTATTGCGGCAAGCTGCGATTGCTTTAGCTGTTACCAGATTAGTGGACGCTATCGATGAAGAGCTTTACAAGGATAGTGCCGTTCCTAACGATAATACTACAGCTTTACATTCCAATAGTAGAACTACGAATTGCGATATTGATGGTCAGTTTATAGCCACTCTTATTGCTGTTTGCATTCGGATGTTATTCACTCAACAAGCAAATATGTGTAGACTGATTTGTGATAGTTTGAACTGAAGTGATAGTTGAAGATATGTGTAGCGAAGAACTGATGACAAGTAGTGATGTGGCCACATCAACAACAACAACACGAGCTACTGATGAGGAACTCGTTGATGAATCTGAAGTTTTGTCATCGTCTTCATTGAATGATCATTTTGTGAAGAGTAAATTCAAGATCGGTTAGTTTTTGATGGTCATGTAGCTGACGTGTTTATAGGAGGTCAGCTTGCCCACCAACCTCAAACTGAAGCTTACCCCTGCCCTCTACTGAAGTTTACCACAGGGCTTTCCCTGAAGTTAAGGTGCATGTTCAGTTAACATTGAAGCTTGAGTCGTGATGCTGAGGCTCATCCAGAGTTTATACTGTGATTTTTAACTCCGCTTTATCTTATGGGCACGTTCACTACAAGATTACCGTTTTTTAAAACTATCAATACCTCTGTCCCCTTCTTTAAATTATATGATTTGATTGTTTTCGCTTTACAGTGTTCAAAATTTGAAAAGATTTATGTGTTGGTGAGTGAATGTTGATGAATAACTTAATAATAAAATGTAATGCAATAAAGGAACTAATGTATAACCATTAAGATGAGAATACAAGTGAATTGGGATTAGATGAGAGAAATAACGACTGCTGCATGATAAGTTTGAATGGTAATAATAAACAACAAGAAATGAGTTATTGTGAGATATACGAGGAGTATGTAGAAGGTCCGAGACATGGTCGCAAAGGAGGTACGTATGGAATGAAGCAGCCGCTGTTATTGATCAAGGGACATGCCCGTGGTATGTTCATCAGTTATTTATTTTGTTCACGATTGACACTGAATGCCTTTAATGTACCTAACGGAAACGCATTATGAAATTGAAAGAGTGATATATATCAGTTGATTGAATAGGGATGCGTGGTATGATTACTGTTGCAATAGGATGGCAATAGATATTCAGTTATATAATTTGAATAGATGAGGGATGTTCGAAAGAAGTGTTCAATAAGAGTGGTGAACAGCAAACGAATACATCGGATCATATTCAAATACCTTCGATAACAATGTCTTTCATTCCAACTTGTAAACGAAAACGCTTGGTCGATAGCTTCGGTTACGGCTTGCCTGAGATCATTGCACCCAAAGATGTTACTGTCCCTTTATTAGTCGGTGATCAACAGGTTATCTTCGTTATTTATTATTGTTGTTTCAATTGGCTACTGTTATTTCTTACCATTTTTATTTTATTTATTATTATTTTGATTATCATTGTTGTAATTATTATTGCTGTTATTATTTTAATTGGTATTATTTTAATTATTATTATTATTGTTGTTGAATTATTATATCATTAAATTATTACTATTACTGTTATTTAATATTTTAAATGCGAATAGTATGATGCTTATAAGTGACACGAGTGCATTAATGAAGGTGATGATGGAAAAGCCATTCAAATGTCCATATTGTGATCATCGAACGAAGGAGAAAAGTGCTGTGGAAAAGCATATTCGCTGTATTCATACTTTCGAAGCACCGTACAAATGTCGATACTGCAATCAAGCCTTCAAAGTACAAAGTAATCTCGTGAGACATATACGTGCTCATACAGGTTAGTTCATAATTTACAGCAAATAAATTCGCTTACCATCGATCGCCAGCAAGATTATTGTGCTTCAATAATGAATGTTTCAGGTGAAAAACCATATCAGTGTAAGAAATGCGGTAGTTTATATGCAGATAAAAAGAATATGGATGCACATGTGTATCGAGAGCATTTGAAGATGAAACCTTTGGAGTGTTCAGAACGAGGTTGTAATGCCAAGTTTTGGAGATACGATCGTTTCGTTCATCACTGCCGAAAGATGCACTCACTCGAAGTGAATCTGAATGAGCACTTGTTGTGATTTGTTTGTTGATGTTGAGTTCAGTGGTTTCTGTATTGATAGACTGATAAGTTGGGCTCAACAAGTGCATTGTTATTATTGTATAAGAGATTGATTTTTATTGTGTACGTTTAATGTGCTCTGTTATCGCGAGTCTTTTTCACTGTATTCGTTAGAACTGAATTATTTGCATCCCTATTGCAGTCATTAAATAAATTATTGATGGTGATCCGAGTCATGAACCTGAAAGTAACCGATTTCGATGGGATTTCTTTCAGCAACTTATCCAACTTTTTCGTTTAACCATTAATTCTATTCTGATATCTCATTTCGTTTCACAGATCCAGAGGGATAAACTACACAGTACATGAATGTGGAAAATGATCAAAAAACACCCGAGTAATTCAATTTGGAACAAATAATAAAAACTAACTGTCTAGTTGAAATTCTTTATGGGCACAGGAAGAACAATTCATAGTCGGCATGTGTAGCACCTTATGACTGCGATTCAGCAATTTCTAAAAATACTATGAAATTCGAATGGGAATTGAGAGTTGGCCTGGTGAATGTTACAGTCAGTAGTCATAATTGCTAAGTGCTGCAAATACTAAAATTCTTACCCATTCAGGCGTGTGATATATAGGTGGGATATATATCTTTTTCTAGTCGAGATTTATTGGCTTGCACATGTATCGGGAATGCCAACTTAGAGGACGGTGCGGTGAAGGGTGGTAGTCAGGTCTTTAATGTTTGAGACGTATTTGAGGCGTAATCGCGTTTTCCGACGGGAAGTAAAATGGAAAGGAAGTTAATGATGTTTATAGTGAAACGAGTTTTTGATATCCTAAGTGAAAATAATCCCGCATGACTATAGGATGTGATGACGAAGTGTATGAACAGCGTGCTGGACACTTGGTTAAGAAAGAGGTCTAGTGGTTGAAAATGAAATGAGTTGAACAGACGTGAATTCATTTATTGCCGTCGGTGACATCTCTCTATCAGAAAGTGCTATCGGCACTTTGCGTGCTCCACCCTACCGTGTCAGAGCAAGTATCAAAATGAAAAGACCGGCACAAAAACACTATATTCCAA